ACACACACTCACACCCACACACTCTGTCACTCTCACACACACACTCACTCACACACACACTCTCTCACTCACACACTCACTCACACACTCGCTCACGCTCGCACTTACACTCACTCACACTCACACTCACATACACACAGACAGACACACACACACACGTATAAGCAAAGTTTGATCAAATACATAGCTTTATACTTACTGTAACAGTAACTATAATGGTTACTAAAACTGTGACAGTAATTATAACAATAATTGTAATCATAAAATTAAAAAAATATATTAAAAATCTTTAAACATTAGATGAAAGACTTGAAAAATGTAAATGAAAACTACAAATGGTACTTTGGCAGCTGACTTAAAAAATGCATTAAATTGAAGTACTAAAATTAAAACTGAAATAAAAATAAAAGCTAAATAAAAATTTTTTTTTTTTTATAAAAACGTCAAAAACACAATTACTTAAAACTAAAATTAAAATGGAAAGTGAAAGTGGTTCTTACAGTCAGAAATACTGTAAAATACTGGTATTTACAAACATTATAAATTCTGTAAATATGTATTTTTGTTCCCGTCACTCCACGACAAATCCTTTAAATTGAACAGTATTCAGAACACAGCAGGAATGAAAAATAAGAAATATAAATTATGCTGCATTCTTGAAAAACATTTATTATACACACACATATTGTGAACTGAAGTTATTTCAAATGAAACGGAATCTTGTGGAAATGTTGTGTGAAATGCTCTTTACAAATAAATGCTCCTCTCTCAGTCGACACTGATCCACATGTGATCTAAACTGCGTTATAAACTCTGTGGAATATGAGTCACAGTATGTTATAAATGATAAAAAACGTGACTTACATTCTTATATAAATGTGGCAGCACATGAACCGTACTAGAGCAGCAGTGTTGTGGAGAGTCTGCTGCGCTCGGGGTGTGTGTTCTTCTGCTGATGTCAGTGAGGTTTGGCTCTGATTCTGAACTCTGTGATGTTTTTCCAGTGTTTCCTGCAGAGAGAGAAGTGTTTCTGTGCGTTCACTGCTGCTCGCCGCCGTCTGCATCACACTGTCTGTCATCTGGGGAGTGTACCGCAACGACGACAGGTCTGTCTCTCTCACACACACACACACACACACACACACACACTCTCTCACTCACACACACACACACACACACACACACACGAAACGGAATCTTGTGGAAATGTTGTGTGAAATGCTCTTTACAAATAAATGCTCCTCTCTCAGTCGACACTGATCCACATGTGATCTAAACTGCGTTATAAACTCTGTGGAATATGAGTCACAGTATGTTATAAATGATAAAAAACGTGACTTACATTCTTATATAAATGTGGCAGCACATGAACCGTACTAGAGCAGCAGTGTTGTGGAGAGTCTGCTGCGCTCGGGGTGTGTGTTCTTCTGCTGATGTCAGTGAGGTTTGGCTCTGATTCTGAACTCTGATGTTTTTCCAGTGTTTCCTGCAGAGAGAGAAGTGTTTCTGTGCGTTCACTGCTGCTCGCCGCCGTCTGCATCACACTGTCTGTCATCTGGGGAGTGTACCGCAACGACGACAGGTCTGTCTCTCACACACACACACTCTCTCTCACTCACTCACTCACTCTCTCACACACACACACACACACACACAGCTCTGTTTTCCTGCTCTGGTCAGTTTATAGTCTGGTTTGTTTTTAAAGCGTCATGCTGACGTTTCCTCGACACACACACGTCTGTTCCAGACTGATTCACACACAGTTCGTCACTCAGCGTCAGACTGTCCAGTGAAAGAGTGTTTTTACTTCCAGCTCAACAGAACTCAGTCTCTGATGTCAGCAGACGAGTCTCTTCCCATTCACTGTGGTCATTCTGAGTTTCTCACTTCTGCATTCAGTGTGTGTTTGAGTTTTTGTGCGTGTGCGTGTGGATCTTTATCTGCTGAAACACACAGCAGACTGTGTCATAACTGCTGCTTTCTATCACTGTATAATAACACCGAGTAGGGCTGCACAGTTATTCAGAATAAAACCATAATTGTGCAGTTAACAAATTGCAAAGGCTGCGACTGAAATAAATAATCATGCACTGTTTATTTCCATTTATTTATTAATAAATACTCAAATATTGAAATATTACTGTAGTAATATTTCTTATTCTGTTTAATAATATTATATATTTATATTTTAAGTTGCAATAGCAATTTTTATTCAAAAATTCACAGCACTCCTGCACAGAGACCGAGTTTGAATCGTGTCTCACATGATCGGAGCGCTTCTGACGGTGTGTCTGTGTTCTGCTCGTCTGCAGGTGGATCTGGATTCTTCAGGATCTGCTGGGAATCGCCTTCTGCCTGAACTTCCTGAAAACCATCAGCCTGTCCAACTTTAAGGTGAGCTGTGTTTTCAGTGGCGCGAGCGGTGCTGTGCTGCATGTCTGACGTGTTTGCTCGTTTCTGCAGATCTGCGTGATTCTGCTCAGTCTGCTGCTGGTCTACGACGTCTTCTTCGTCTTCATCACGCCATTCCTGACGCCGGTGAGTAGCAGCGGATCCACACTCAGCAGCGTCTGCTCATGCTCTTCTCTTAATGTGTGTGTGTGTGTTTCAGAATGGAGAGAGCATCATGGTGCAGGTGGCTCTCGGCCCCGGCGCGGGAGGGAAGGTGAGTGCGAGCGCGTCATGTGATCTGTGTGTGATTGATGTAAGGCTCACTAACGGCAGCTTCTGGTTTTAGGGTGACAGCAATGTAGTGGAGGTTCCAGGCGACAACTCGTCCTCCTACGAGAAAGTAAGACAGACACACACACTCTCACACTCACACACACTCTCACATTCACACACACTCACACACTCTCTCTCTCACACACACACTCTCACACTCACACAGACACACACTCACTGACTCACTCACACAGACACACTCACTGACTCACTCACACAGACACTCTCTCTCTCTCTCTCTCTCTCTCTCTCTCACTCACACACACACACACACACACACACACACTCTCTCTCTCTCTCTCTCACAGACACACACGCTCTCTCTCACACAC